TTGGCCTGCGTGTAGAATTGATACATCATTATCACGATGAAGCCAACGAAGCATCCACCCACGTAGCAGGTTACTGGATGCAGGCCCTGCTGTTCACTTTCAATCTAGCGTGATGGTGTATGCAATACCTACAAAGTGTAATTTCGTTGAAACAGTACAAGCACAAGCTCTCGAAAAACCATCCCAAAACCTATCGGAGCCTTGGCTTTGTGGCAGATTTGTCACCGAGCAAAGTGTGCACATAGCATAGTCTGCTCATCATTCACTCGAAAACCATTGGGAAGCAATCATCTTCAACTAGCCAGTTGAAAAATCAGTAGATCTTTCTATTAAGTAGGGCAAATATAGCGTCACTATTTTGAGACATACAAAACTCATGAACAAACTCCCTACACTTATCGACACTTTGATTCTCTCGATAGCTGCAGTACCACTCTACTTTTGGGCTCATCAGTTGTACTGTGAATTGACTACAGCGGGAATAAACTATGATACTAAGCAAAAGTAGGATGACGGTATAAAAGTTCCTCGCATAATGCTATCACGGATCGGACTGGTCTTATGCGTATGTTATACTCATCTATCAGTGACTCATGGACTTGAGGACATGTGCGTGTGCTTCTTTTTTGGTGCCGTTCAACAACCTCCGTAATGTTTAATAATGTTCGTAATTTATGACCGAACATACACTTGATATCATGTTTACGTGCCTTCGTTGATGACTCAGATTGCAGATAGTTTTAGGGCTTAGTTTCTTTAGTTTTACGTTGTCTTCTTTTGTAGGGTCCACCAGTGGTAGGTCGAGGCTGGTTTATATGATCAGTCTGTAAAGTCACGTGGTGCCTTTCTGACATGTCTAATATACAAGTTAATTGTTATAAACTGATAGGTTCACACCCTTATTTTCAAAACTAGATAGAATTTAGGTTTAAGAACTTGTTCAATTGTTCCGGAGGCATATAGATGCCATTTTGACTAACCCAAATATATTATTCAACTTGCTGCTGTAAGATGCCAGTTAGAAGTTGTCAGCTTTCATCGAGGCCGTAATGATCAATCACCAGTGACAGTTTGAGCGCACAGCACATATTGCTAAGCAAAGTTCGCTTCTCTTTGGGGTAGACAAAAATATCTAATTTGCTTATTTATCGATCATTTGCGAAGTCAAACATCTATTTGCAAGAATAGATCTTTCCTAGTATTTTACGAATTGTCGACACGACGTAGTCTAGGATACTTATGCAAAGATGCATAATGTCTGTGATACAGCAACTGGAAATGTAACGTCAAGATTATATTTACATATGCTTTCTATGTCAACTCCTGAGTAGAAAATTGTGCTTTTTCCCCGTTTTTCGCCTCTTGTTCATTTTATCCTTTATGCTGACGGATACCACCAGTACCTATGCGTGTATTTTGTTTCGTTTTGAAGAAACCGGTGGGGTTCGTTCAACCGATTTGTGATGAACCAGATGAAAACGAGACGAGCTCCGCCCGGTCGATGGTGCTGAAACAGTCGCGTCATTCCGAAATGTCATCTGTCATCAAGAGTCGCCTGAAACTCTACCGTGAAAACTCTAGCGACACGGTAAGTTAATACCAATATGAATATTCCTTGGAGGAATTATTGCTGTTTTACTGTGTGGTTCGGGGGGCTATGGGGCACCAATTCAGCTATGCCATCAGCTGGTGCCGTTTTACTTCATAAGGCACCATGTGCAGATTTTACCTGTAAACCACTTCTATTAACCATCTTCGTTGACGGTTATCGACAAAGTGCAGGAAGCCGATGAATGGTTACCTCTCTAGTTTATATACTTTCTCTTCATTTTCGTCCGTGCACAGCTTAAATCAAGCTGTAGAGGCATGCATAAATGACGAACCAGGTTTAGAGGTAGTTTAGAGGTTGCAATCGCCGGAATTTTTGGCGCTGATCAGGCAACTATATGTAGCTTGGCTGGAACGATAGACGGTTTGACTGGTACAGACCGATCTGACCATACTGATCACTTCCTACAGCCACCTTTGAACTGTACAATCGCGCCTTCGATGTGAGTTTTCTCGAATACTGACTGCTGCTTTGCCTTCGTCATTTTGTATTATCTGTTGTTTTTATTCCAGCCCACGACGGCTCCCAAAAAGGTTGATCCTCGTGCGGAGATTATGCTTGCACGACAGCTTTCTCAGGTGTCTTGTGATGACACGGACAATACCACTGTGGTAAGAATGCATTCAGCGTGTCCAATGCTTGAGTTGTTCGTTGGTTAAGCTTCTTGCACAGCACGCGCGCAGTTTGCTGATATGTGTGGAATCTGCGGTTCTACTGCATAGACATTATAATTTTCTTTTAGGGGGTATTGTAAACCTTGTTAGGATGCTCCTTCTGTCAACAGTGGAAGAGTCAGCTTTATATATTTCCCAACTTGTTAGTGATCAGTGTGATAATCTGTCTACCGTGATTCTTTCAGGGGCAATGCACTTTTGGAATTGCCTGACCACGAAATCATTGCTTTGTCGTCGTGTTCATTTTCCCATGGAAACTTTTATTCCAACTTTTCCTGTCTGTTTCTATACTGCGAGGAATTCAAGCGCTTTGCAGTGTTTTCAAAAAAAATAGTTAAAGAGATGAGGTAACGTAGTTAGCCACTTCGTTCACCGTAGAAATGAAAAACACCGTTGAATGAATTGGTGCTCCCCATTCCAAAATACATTGTCTGATTACCAAATTTTTCATGATGAACCGTATCTCTCTTCGCCTCTATGGATGTAATGTGCCGGTGTTCAGGGCTGTAGTAATTTGTGCGCGGTTGTTCAACGGGAGTGAATAATAAGCAGAAGTCGTCCGAACGTGACATCCTCTTGATGCGTACCTACCGTGCAACCCGTAAGAAACATGAGGGCTAAGATATTGCCAGATTGCCGATGCCTAGACAAGAGCAGTCGATAATCCAAGGTTGGAACCAAGCCGTCAGTTCAGTGGCTTCGCACCGCAGGTGTGGGACTATCTCGGTGTGAAGTGGAGAGCTGGATACCGTAATACGAATAACAGTGTGGAGTGGTTTGTCTGCAAAAGCATGGATAAAAGAGCCAACATAGGTATAGGGCAGGAAAGCGCACTTATTCATGGGGCACTCCGGCATTGATATGCAGTGTCCAGGAGACAGTACCGTCCATTTATATCTGTATAGAACGACTATTTAGTGGCCTTCGAATTGATCACTTGTGAACGTGGGAATTCGGGTGAGACGGCTGCATGCCACCTCTAGTCAGATGCTTATGAACTGTTCCGCTAATTTCGCCAGAAGATCCTACTGGAAAAGACAACGGGCGGTTTATATCAACCTTGGTGCAATTGGCGGTCTATTAAGAGAGTGGAGTCTCCATGATATCGGAATCGCTTAACGTAGGTCGATCCGTCACGAAG